TTCAATACTGTCTGAGGGTACATTAGGAACTCTGGCAGTTTCAGTGACAACCTATCTAGACAAGACTATATTAGGGCTCAGCTATACCAACTAATAGAGATTTTACAAAGGACAACAAAAATTTTGTATACCCAGCGAATTTAATTCCTCAGAGTGAATAGAGAAGTTTGTTAGCTATTTATAATTCACTTATGGGCAATTTAGGCTTAACTTTGGATATTTTTCAATGCAATAATATAATAATATAGCAATAGCAGTAGCATTTACACATATACTTCTCCATAGTGGTACAGCACTCTCTGAGTGGTTTAAAAATGTCAGCATATTGCCCCAACAATCAGTTTAATTTTACCGACCTTGGAAGGATGGAAGGCTGAGTAAATCATGAGCCAGGATGGAAGGCTGAGTCAACCACGAGGCAGCCTACTGGGATGAGGTGAAGCCATTGCTCTTGTAGTGTGGAGACATTAATTTGGTTCTCAACACCACTAAGACCAAGGAGCTTATAACAGATAGATCAGACATTCAGCCTCTGATCATCAGTGGAGATGTGTGGAGTGGGTGGCCAGCTTTAGGTTTCTGGGTGTTACCATAAAGAAAGACTTGACCTGGATTGCTCATGGTATAGCATTGGTTAAGAAGAAGGCCCAACAGAGATTACATTTCTTGAGACTTCTCAGGAAACAACAATTGAATGAAAAACTGCTGGTGACCTTCTACCGTTACTCCATAGAGAGCATTCTAACCTATTGCATTTGTATGTGGTTTGCCAACTGTACTGTAGCAGATAGGAAAGCACTCCAGAGAGTCATTACTATTGCCCAGAGGATTATTTGCTGCCCTCTCCTCCCCCCTGGATGAACTGTAGAGTTCCCGCTATCTTAGGAAAGCTCAAAACATTCTTAAAGGCTCATCTCATCCCATTCTTTTTTTGAACTATTACCATCTGGCAGATGTTACTGGATAATAAAAGCAAAGACAAGTAGGCTGAAAAATAGTTTTTATCCCAGAGCTGTAACCATATTAAATACTATTATATAGTGCAACATTGAAGTGCAATATTAGGGGCAGCGCAATGGTGAATAGAATGTTAAGGTTGCATATATGTAATGTTTTTATTTGTGGTTTTTACTTGTGTGTAGTGTGCACTGTGGACATCACTTAATTTCGTTGTGAGATACACAGTGACAATAAAGATATTCTATTGAACTCCTGGCTTTGGGCAAGTTAGCCTGCAATGCTATATTTTAACCACTGTGCCACGATGGCTCATATTCAGATATTCACTATGATATTAGTTGAGAGCTTGGCTGGTTTAGAAAAGAAAAAAATAAATGGGGTGGGAAAGGAGGAAGTAGACTTATTTGTGGGAAGAAGCCTGAACAACCCAAGTGGAGAAATCAGTGAAGCTTACATATTCAAACATACAGGTAGTCCTCCATTTACAACCACATTTTTCATCATTTTTATTTATCAAATTTATTTGTTGCCCATCTCGTAGCAAACAACTCTGGGTGGCTTCCAGCATTCAAATATTAAAAATCTAACAAATAAATATCTTTAAAAGAATAAAAATAGAAATCCCAATCAAGGTATAGTTAAAAGATAGGGAGGAAAAAATAGGATGCATGGTGAACTGGGGGCGGGGGGAGAGGTGGGATTGGCTCTTAATTTAACAACCATCTCCAATGTAATATTCCCCCATTAGGGCCCCAGGTCATCTGGCAGAACCAGATGTACAGAAGCGGGGGAGAGTCAATCTCACATCAGGAGATAAGATGTTCCATAGGGCAGGAGCCACGGCAAAGAAGGCCCTTCCCTGCAGCCCACCAGGTGGAATTCTTTGAGCAATGGGGCCTGCAGCATGCTTCCTCTGATGATGCGGGGGAGTTGGCTAGCCCCAGTGGGGTTAGACAGTTCCTCAAGTAGCCTGGACCCATGCCATGCAGGGCTTTAAATATAATAATCAATACCTTAAATTGCATCCGGAAGCAGACTGGCAGCCAGTGCAATTTTCAGAGCAAGTGGTGTAATATGTCATCCTAGGGACCCCAAGAACGGCTTATGCTGCTGACTGCACTAGTTGAAGCTTCCAAATATTCTTCAATGGTAGTCTCATATAGAGCATATTGCCGTAGTCTAGACATGAGATGACCAGGGCTTGAATGATTTAGCACAGGGACTCCTGATCCAGGAAAGGCCACAACTGGTGCACAAACCAAAGTTGTGGAAAGGCTGTCCTAGCCACGACTGCCAACTGCTCTTTGAGCAGGATTCGCGAGTCCAGGAAAACCCCCAAGTTGTGAACCGGGTCTGTCTGGATTAGTGCAACCTGAAACGTGAAACTCCGTACATCCAAAGCCATTTGGTCTTGCCAGGGTTCCCCCATCCTGGCCCTCACAGCCTCCAAGCACAGTGACAGGATGGCAATATCATCACTTGGATCATCAGGGGTGGATATATATATTGATGATACCTCAAGCCCCAGTGGCAAATGATCTCACCCAGTGACTTCATATAAACATTAAAAAGGAGTAGAGACAATGCTGAGCCCTATGACATGCCACAGAAGAGTGGCTGTGGGCTGAACCTCTCAGTCCCTATCAATACTGATTGGGACCAATCTTGGAGAAAAGAGTCTGTGCCACCCAGCCTCAAACCCCGCAGCTGGTACAAAATGATACCATGGTTGGTGGTATCAAAGGCTGCTGAGAGATAAAGAAGTGCAAGGATGGTTACATTATCCCTACATCCCGCTCTTGCCAAGAGATCATCAACAAGTGTGACCAATACTGTTTCTGTCCCACAACTGAATCATAAATCAGTGCAGTTGTAAAACATGTCATCATGTGACTGGACCCAATTTTATAATGTTTTATTATGGTTGTTAAGTAAATCTGACTTCCTCAGCTGATTTTGCTTGTCAGAAGCTAGCTAGAAAGATCCATAAATCATGATTATATGATCACAAGATGCTGACACAGTCATGAATGTGAGCCAGTTGCCAATCATCCAATTGTGATCACTTGACAGTGGAAGTTGTGTGACAGTCATAACTTTGAGGATAGGTTGTAAGTTATTTTTTTTGAGGCTGTTGTAACTTCTAACCATTGTTAAATGAATGGATGTAAGTCAAGGACTACCTGTAGTATGAAATACAAAGGATGGTAAAGCGGTTTGCCATGTTTTCTAGAAATCCTGAGAGCAGTATTATAGTTTCATGATTGAAAAACACTAGCCATGATTCTGACTTAGCAATCTTGAGTGATCCCAATTGCCCAGTTTAATCTACTCTACAGGATGTTGTGAAGGAAAAATGAGGGAATAGCAGAAAAACAGAACTCAGAGAACCAAGAAAGGTTAGAACAATAATACACAAGCCATAACAACTTAAAAGGCTCTTAGCAGGTGTGTCTGAAGGAGGGAGGAGATGGACTCCAATGGTTGAGCATCCCTTCTGACTTTTAGCCTGAAAAGGAGATGAAGCATGCTGAAATCCTAGCGGCCATAGAAGCTGTCATTCCCAATGCCTTTGAAGCAGGCCTCCTACGCAGCATCCAATTTGAAAACATCAATGTAATTTGTGGAACTGCTGGGCGGAAGAACAGGTTGGTATAGATAGATATTCAACTACTCTATTCCCCATTCCTCTGGACTAAGGGAAGTCTATTTGACCACTCAGCTTTACTTGGCTAGCTTGGCCCATGGCATCATTAAAAAAAAACAACAACCAATAACTTAGCTGAGACAATGTGTAGTTTCCTTTACTGGCCAGCAGTCTAATCAGTGTTTATCATCTTTGATAACTTTAAGATGTATGGACTTCAGCTCCCCGAATTCTCCAACCAACATCCTGGCTGGAGAATTCTGAGAGTTGAAGTCCATACTTCTTAAAGCTGCCAGCTAATCAAGGAAATCTGCCTGCTTGCCCGCCTGGTCTCTCTCCCTCCCTCCCCGTCTGTCTGTCTATTATATGTCATCCATCTCAGTCTAGTGACTCTAGACAGCTAACAGTGGATAAAATCTGGGAGCTATCATTTGATTCCCTACTTCTTTAATTCTGACTCTTATGGAACACACTAACATTTAGGGTCCCATTTTAGCTGTTTGCACAAATGTCTGTGCAGACTAGCAAAAGCTTGGGTGAATACATTCACAAAACATAGTAAGCTTGCTTAATTTTAGCCGTTTCTTTTTTTAAAAAAATATTGCATTGTATGAAACCATGCTGTTTGGTTAATCTATAACCAAATTGGAAAAACAAGTTAATTCAGTAACAAAACTAAATATGGTATACTAATCCAGCCTTGTGTACTCGAGCAGAGTTATTTTAGTAAAATAAGTCTTGGCATGTGTTCATTTTTGCTCCTTACAATTATGCGATTCAATTGAAGACATTGAGAATTCAGGACACAATCTAGCTCAATGTTCTACAAACTTGACAACTTTTAAGAGGTGTGGATTTCAACTCCCAGAATTCCCTGGATAGCGCTGGAAATTTCTGAGAGTTGAAGTCCACACTTCTTAATGTTACTAAGTTTCAAAAACACTGATCTATCAGATGAATAATGCATAATCTGAGCCAGGCCAGGCCAATTACCATTTTTCTCAGTGTATTTATCAGTTTCTCTTTTCTGTTGCATTAATCATGCCAGTTGAATGGCAACTTTTGGATGGTTGGTATAAATTGTGCATCCCCGTCATAAAGACAACTTCTGATCCAGGCAAAAGGCACAGGAGGTCTCCGGGACATACAGTCTCTGTCTCCAGCAGGTAATCCTTGGGAGGGGATGTAAAATTGTATGCTATAAAAGCTGAATATTCAAACTAGAAACAGGCAGTTCTTCTGAAAAACCAGAGACCTGAGTGCTTTTGCTTAACTGGGGAAGTTAGCCTTCAACAATTTGTTTGGCTCTGCCATTTACGCTATTGGCTCCTGCCATTTTTGCCTACTGCACTGGGCCCCATGAAAGGGATCATTCTGAACTTGTTGAGCCATAGGGTCCTGGGGAAGAAGCAGTGAAAACTTCCCCCATCATAATGAAGCTTGATGAAACCATGTCAGTCAGCCGTCTCTCTTTTCTTGTCTTCCCACGTAGGTGGCTGATCACAGTATCAGATTTCCGAACTCGGAATCAGCTCTTGGGTTCTGGATTAACCTTGGATGAAAACCATTTTGTGCTGCGACGCTGGGATAACCTGGTAATGGAGGACTACCGCATGCACCTTCGAAGATCCTTAGCCCGTCAGCGTCTGCTGGACACGCTCAGTGACTCCTGGGAGGCCAGCCATTTGGATGGCATCTGAACTCCAGGAAGGATATGAATCCAAAACCAAGCAAAACATGATGATGATGATGTCCTGCTTGTGGGTCTATCTCATCTTTCTTTCTTTAAGTTACCCTAATGCAGGGGTAGTCATAAAAGAGCCAAGGTTTGACTACCCCTGCCCTAATGCTTCCTCTGAACTTACATTCCTGGTTTTTATTTTGTCCTTCTAATCACACATTTGGAAAGAGGGTGCCCCCTAGAGGACCTCTGAAGTACATCTTTTCTGCTTTGAAGTAAGCAACCTTGGGAAGAACTGTCACTTTTGTGGGTGAAGTCTGTGGGAAGATTTATTTTCCAAAACGCTGTTACTACTTTCCCAATGAAACTGAGGAGCAAGACAGTCCTTCTAATTGTGAGAAAAGCAGAAAAGTCTAAGTCAATGTTTCTCAACCATGTCAGCTTAAGATGTGCGGACTTCAGCTCTCAGAATTCTGGGAGATGAAGTCCATGTATCCCAAGAGTTATCAGGGTTGAGAAAACACTGCTCTAGAAAGGCCATGCATTTGTGGCAATTGATTTCTTGCAGCTTAAATTTCCAATTGCTGTCAAGTTTGTGTTAGTCCACTTTCTTTTCTGTTATGAAAAAATTGTATAGATTGAAACCATCATTCCTTCATTTCTGTTTGATATAGTTTTTATTTATTTTTAATTTTTAAAAACCACTGAATCCTTTCATGCATGCAAACTGCTGGAAAAATTGAAACAGGTTATGTTTTCTCCCTTCCATCCACGCCTGGTGCCTGACCTATTCTGAGTAAATGTTAACATCTGAAATTTATCAGAGGACCCTCATCTGGTTAATTTCATAACCCCTTAATTTTAGAATCTTCATAGAAAGTTAGATTACTGAATGTTCTACTTTACAATTTACATATAGCTTCCCCAAGTAGTGTGTGCCCCCCACCCCCAAACTCTCCTTATCCAGTTGTATGGTTCAGCTGTTACTGGGCAAGAAGTTCATGGCTGCAAGACAGGCAGCTAAATAATTTTATACACAAATGTAATCATAATGTTAATAATAGATTGCTTTAGGCAATCATTTTCTTATTTGTGAATAAGCACCATTTGGTTTTAGACAATAAATTACATTTTAAAGTAAAAATTACAACACAAGTGTCTTAACTGTACAACTGCTTACTATGTATAATAAATTTGAAATATTATAATAAACTATAGTCAATAATGATATGGATGTTGTATTGGCCTTTGCCATCCTGGTAATCTGCCATATTCTGAATCCCCCCCTCCATTAGCAATGGAGCCAAAAACTTCAACCTTGATGTCCACCTGCTTTGGAGTGCCCAGAGTTACATTCAGCATGATATAATTAATGTCTATGGGAGCTATGGTTCAACCCATTTATACCTTTTACAGAGTTGTAACTGGGGAAATCAGAGTGAGCTGAAATGCTTGGCGCTGTGTTCTGCTGATTCTCTTCCAAAATGTTATTAAAAATAATGCTTTCCCACTGGAGTCATGATTGCATGTTCCCTCTATATCTTAAAAGCTATGCACTGGTTAACTGAAAGGGGTAAGTTGTAGGGAATGGCAGCCTCTAACCTGGAAGAACTGGACAATGGAAATAGAATGTCCTCTCCTCCAAGCCTACTTGGGAAATAGCACCCAAAAGTAGACAAATAATTAATGCACCAGGGCAGCAGGACACTTCTACTGCTCTTGGGATTCTTCCAAATGCTCTATTTTACTAGCTTTGTATTAAGCAAAAATAGTCCAAGGATCATACCAAAATCACCACAGGGCCGCACTGCTCCGAACTACTAGCTTACCTACTATAGGCATGTTGTCCATCTTACCAAGCTAGGTGATTCTTGTTGCTTGTCTTCTTGCTCCTGGGCTAAATTTCCGAGAGTCTGAAGAACAGTAATCTCCAGCCATGAACTCTTCTGTAGTGAAATTATCTGCATGGGATTTGCTATAAAAGATATTTCATTCACTGTTCCACCCAATCTTTTCTTCTGTATTCAAATTCAGTCTATATTATACTTCAGTATTTCTCATTCAGAACACTAGACAATTCCCAATGCTTAATGTGAACAGGTTACTACAGGTAGTCTTGACTTACAACCATTTGTTTAGTGACCAAAGTTGCAATGGCCCTGAAAAAAAGTGACTTATGACTGTTTTTCACAAATACAACTGTTGCAGTATCCCCCAAAGTCATATGATCAAAATTAGACATTTGAGACCAGGCATGTATTTATGACAATTGCAGTATCCCAGAATCATTAGATCACTTTTTGCAACCTTCTGAAAGCAAAGTCAATGGGGAAGCCAGATTCACTTAACAATCGTGTTATTAACTTACCAACTGCAGTGGTTTTCTTAACTGTGGCAAGAAAGGTCATAAAATGGGGCAAAAGTCACTTAATAACTGTCTTGCTTAGCAATGGAAATTTTGGGCTCAGTTGTAGTTGTAAGTCAAGGACTACCTGCATATCTAATGATTTCCAATGTTGAGAAAGGACATTACTAATGGGTGCGGTGGAGACTTTGAACAAGGAAATCTGCCAAGGGTTGATAAAGCCTTTGATAGAACTGGCCTACCAGATGCTCTCATCCTAGTCAAAGCATTTGGGGAAGGAACTAAGCTCTGCAATCTAATCACTGGGTTCCTTAACAAGTGTTCTTTGAGTAATGGTCTGATCATACATACTGTCTGGTGCCTAAACAGGCCATTGGGAGATCTTTCGAGCCCCCTAAGTCAGGCATTGGCAAGTTTCTGGCACAAAGGAGCTTATTTGTTCCTAGTAGAACCCAGAGGTCCAGTAATTTGGTGTAAAATACTGGCATGGCAACAGAACTAATTACCAACTTCACTAAACAAGCTAGAATGATTTGTACTATGATTTGTATTGAAATTCATCTCAATTGTGCAGAACTACTTAACTGAAGGAAAAGAAAGTCCACCCCACCCTTTGCTTGTTCTGATTCAACAATTCTAAGCTGAATGTTCCCGTCAATCTGTTGCAAATAATCTAGGACATCGAAGATTTATCTTCTGCCAGTTTAGGGATGGGCTCGTATTTAAGAATAGCTTGGACAAATTGGCCACTGGTTGCTTTTCCCTTACACTGACCTATCAGTGGCAAAAAACATAAAGTGCTTTTTCCAATTTTCTGCAATGGCCTGTAGTGATTCCAACTCAGAAAAGTTGGAGCATGGTGGGAAATGGAAAGTTATGGCTGCAAGCCAGGAAGCAGAGCCAAAAACATCAGGACAAGTGAACCCTGGGAGTCACTGAAGAGAATGCGGGATAGTATAAAGCTCAGCATACTGCAAATAATTTGCTTCTTATCCCCACCACCAGGGACCTGGTCTGCACCCTCTATCCCCTTCCCCTCCACTCAAAGACAGAATTATATTCTCCAGCCAGAATTTGGGGATCCTGGATTTTAATGATTTTCTCATTTCCCCCCAAATTGCACAATAATTTGTGTTCCCCACTTGGTTAGCACTAAATTTTAAGTTGTGTTTTTAGGCAGGGTTGTCTATGGGCAGTGGGTCGGGTGGTGCTATTTCAAAAAAGTCAAAATAATGGCCATATCCATGCAATCAGAACCCTTCCCCCCCTTTTTACAGATGTGTAAAAAGGTCAGGGCATTGATCACATATGGCTATCATTTTGACTTTGCTTTTTACTCCCCTGCAAACAGGCCTGCAAGGTTGAAGAGAGTGAGAGAGAATAACTCTACCTATTTTTTCATAGTGAGAGAAAACCCATCTTTGAACAAGAGGAATTCTATCAAGATACCTAGCTTTTGAGAAAGTTTACAATATGGCTTTGTTAAATAAGGTGAGTTTTGCTTTTAAGTCCAGTATTAGTGCTGCTACTGAACTAAGCTGGTGAATGAGTTGCCAGCACTAAAAGAAGTGGAATACAGTGCAAAGGGTGGGCAAAACTAACCCCACTGCTCCTCTTCTTCACTAGAGCATTCAGAAGCTATAACCAAACTACTAGGAGAACCAGTTAGCAAAACTCTGCCATTGTCTCCCCAAATTCCAATTCAGGGCATTACTTTTTATCTCTGCCTGGTTTTCTGAGTTACTGTTCCAAGTATCAGTAGTGAAGAACATTGCAAATAGTAGTTGGTTATAGCCAAGGGTCTTCCTCTTGTCTCAAAACACACATTAATGGATGCAAAGACACCTACAGAGAACCTCTGTATCCCATAGAGTTTATATTTGCAAATAAAACCAGTAAATTACATTAATTGCTCTGCACAGGCATTGAAGGCAGAGACAGGACCTCCAGCCCAGGATAACGGATTTGGTAGAGGAAGGTTTAAAGGAAGTTCTGTGTGTGTGTGTGTGTGTGTGCGTGTGTGTGAGAGAGAGAGAGAGGGGGGGGGAGAGAGGGAGGGAGAGGGAGAGAGAGAAAGAGAAGAACATGTGAGGCAGATCTGCCTGAATGCCATAAGGTAATCTTAGGCAGCACAGGATTAAATACATTCATTTCAAAAGATTCTGCCCACAGCATGAGGTACAGTTCCTTTGGGGGTGGGGGATACTGAAGAGGAAGAAGGTCTAGGAATCCTAGGTTCAAAAGAGATAGATGAAGGTGGCACAAAATGCCAGTTTTCCCAGGGTAGGTGGAATTAAGTCAAAACAAACATCAAGTGCCAACCCAAGCTAGATTCTAAAGTATGAATCTAGTACCTCCGTGCTCTAGGTGATTGGAGGAGCCAAGAGAAGCATCTAACAGGACAGGAACCCACCTTCCAAGCACAGGAAGGGTGAATAGAATCAATGGAGATGAGGAAACTTTAGAATAGGTGTTGGCCATGGATGCCCCCTCAGAACCATTTTTGTAGCTTCCAGACTTGGGAATCAAGCTGAACCTTGCAAAGTAGAGCCCAGCAGGAATCTCAAGCATGCGGTGGAATTCTGGTAGAATTGGAAGACACCCCTCTGCACTCAGAGCCAAAACAGGTTCTTACCCCAGTGTTCTTGTAGGTT